AGATAGATAGATAGATAGAGGTAAAAGTTCCCCTTGCACATATGTGCTAGTCGTTCCAGACTCTAGGGGGCGGTGCTCATCTCCTTTCTAAGCCAAAGAGCCAGCGACGTCTCCGTGGTCATGTGGCCGGCATGACTAAACGCCGAAGGCGCACGGAACGCTGTTACCTTCCCACCAAAGGTGGTCCCTATTTTTCTACTCGCATTTTTACGTGCTTTCGAACTGCTAGGTTCACAGAAGCTGGGAGGAATAACGGGAGCTCACTCCGTTAGGCGGTGCTGGAGATTCGAACTGCTGAACTGCCGACCTTTCTGATTTGACAAGCTCAGAGTCTTAGCCACGGAGCCACTGCATCCTTTCCATGAAATAGAGATCATCAATTGTATGGAGGGCGTCCCTTGGCTACAATCAATTCTTAGCATCCTGAGCAGAGAGGAGTGAGATGAAGGTTGAGCTTTATATTTTAATTGATGATGGTTGAAGAAGGCGGCTTACCTTGCCAAAAAGATGTGAAATGACCATGTCTGGTAAAGCATGAGCCCATCCAGAAATCTAGAAATTGTTTAAAAAAAAAGTATGTTAATTCAAACACTGCACTTACCTCTGTCAAGTTAACACTTTGGCATTCAATATAGTCTTAAGTATAGCCTTTATTGTCATTGTACAAAATTAATACAACAAAATTACAAAATTGTAATACAAGAACACAACCAATTATATACAGGGAGCCCTTTTCTTACAGCAGTTTGTTTAGTGACTGTTCAAAGTTACAACGGCACTGAAAAGATGTGAACATATGACCGTTTTTCTTAGTTATGACCTATGCAGCATCTCGTTGCTCAGGGGATCAGAATTCAGATGCTTGGAAGCGGTTCATATTTATGACGGTTGCAGTGTCCTGAGGTCACGGGATCCCCTTTTGCGACCTTCTGACCAACAAAATCAACAGGGAAGCCAGATTCACTTAACAACCAGTTTCCTAACTTATCCGCTGCGGAGATTGACTTAACAACGGTGGCAGGAAAGGTTGTAATACAGGACAAAGCTCACTTAACCAATGAGCACTTAGCAACAGTCATTTGGGGCTCAACTGTGGTCGTAAATCGAGGACTACCTGCACATCAAGAGGTGCGTTTTCTTCCCCCATTAAATGTATGGCCCTGAAAGGATAAACTGAACTCTTACATTTTACGAGTCCCTTCACTCTATAGCAGTGATGGCGAAGCTTTTCGGCACTGAGTGCTCAAACCAGAACGTGAGCACGCATGTGTGCCAGAGCACCAGCCAACTGGTCTTTGGGTTTCTGGCACACATACCACTTGGTCTTTGGGTTTCTGGCACTCCAGAGTGCGGGAAACCCAAGACCAGCTGGCTGGTGCATACATACCACTTGGTCTTTGGATTTTTGGCACTCCAGAGTGCGGGAAACCCAAAGACCAGCTGGCCAATGCACATATACCACTTGGTCTTTGGATTTTTGGCACTCTGGAGTGCGGGAAACCCAAAGACCAGCCGGCCGGTGCACACATACCACTTGGTTTTTGGATTTTTGGCACTCCCGAGTGTGGGAAACCGAAAGAACAGCCGGCCGGTGCACACATACCACTTGGTCTTTGGATTTTTGGCACTCCGGAGTGCAGGAAACCCAAAGACCAGCCGGCCGGTGCACAAATACCACTTGGTCTTTGGATTTCTGGCACTCCAGAGTGTGAGAATCCCAAAGACCAGCTGGCCGGTGCACANGTGTATAAGATGCACCCAGATATTCAGCCTCTTTTTTGAGGTAAAAAGGTGTGTCTTATACTCCGAAAAATACGGTACTCATCAGAGCTGGGTAGCAAAATCTCCAAAACAATCTCAGATCCTCTTACTGATTCGCCCCCTGAATAGCAGAAGGAAATGTTTTCCTAAACGTTCTGAAAAGCTCAGTGGCGTTATTACCTGTTGTAAGAGTTGACAAACAGGTGGAGGTTGCTTTGGTTCATGTCATTGATGATGTGCTGGCGGTAAGTATGGATCAAATCGTGGCTGCTGTGAATCTCCTCCTAGGTTTAAGAAACATTCTCATCAAATATCAGTTAAGACCAGGAAAGGGAGAACATCAAAGGTGGCATTCAGCCGGTTTGGATCGGTTCACCCGAACTGGTAGTGGAAATCATGGTTGGGCCTGTCCACCTACTCCCGGCTCTATGCGGTCCTGTTTAGGCACGTTTTTGAGGTTGGGCTCATGCGTGGAAGGTGAACTGGTGGTAAGAAAATATGAAACCCACCACTGGAGAACATCTGGAAAGAGCAACGATGACTCAGCAGGATGTTTTTGCAAGCTTAAATAGGAGAGCTTGCCAATTTATTTATGAATGGAAAGTGCTAACTATGTCATATTAGACGTTCACATACGCATGACAGAGGTGGGATTCAGCAGGTTCTGACCGGTTCTGGAGAACCAGTAGCGGAAATTTTGAATAGTTCGGAGAACCAGTAAATACCATCTCTGATTGGCCCTGACCCCATCTATTCTCTGCCTCCTGAGTCCCAGCTGATCGGGAGGGAACGGGGATTTTGCAGTAACCTTGCCCTGGAGTGGGGAGAGAATGGAGATTTTACAGTATTTTTCCCCTGCCACGCCCACCAAGCCACACCCACCCAGTAGTAAAAAATTTCTGAATCCCATCCCCGTGTACAAGGTTAGAGATGAACTTGCAACAAGAGCCTAATTGAGGAACCACAATGCGCACTCCCACCAATACTGGCATGGCAAGCTGTTTGTGTATATAAACAGACAGCAAACCCTGCTCCCTTCTAGCACTGATGATGTTAGCTAGTTAGGTAATGAAATGCTGGAAGCAAACAACTAAGTTCGGAGAGCATCCAGGACCCCACAGTTCAACCCTAAGCTGCAAATATTCTCTTTTATCGTATCTACCATTTGTCTGAGATGGTATGGGGTTCCTGCTTGAGCAGGGGATTGGACTAGATGATCTCCAAGGAACCTTATTCTTCAGTAATTGTAACTTTACATACTTAGGATGGCCCGTTCGTGAATATGCAGATGTTCAAAACATGAAAACAATCCCAACACATAACTATCCCAATATTTCCCAGTTTACAGCAGCATACAAAGATTGTCTTTCCCTCATTTAATCCTGAAAAGCCCACCAGCTTTTTAGATAGATAGATAGATAGATAGATAGATAGATAGGTAGGTAGGTAGGTAGGTAGGTAGGTAGGTAGGTAGGTAGGTAGGTAGGTAGGTAGG